TGCCATTGCCATGGCAATTTTTTCTCCAAACACGGATACTGATTATTATTTTCTTTAAACTTAAAAAATAGACAGAAAAAAAAAATGAAAAAAAAAGAATTCTATGTCAACAACAGAAACTGATCAATTTTATTTGTATATTTTTTATGTCTAATAACATAACATGAAACTCCCTTATATATGCTACACAAACCATCCAACTAAGGTCTTGCTTGGTTCAGCTTTTGTTTTCTTTAAATTTGTTTAAAAGTTGTCTTATATAAAACAACATTTTAAAGTCAAGTACAAATCACGGTAAAAAATAACTAGAAAAAGATATTTTGTAAAAAGCATTTTTAGGAAATTATACTAATCAAATAAAGCCAGAAATAGAAAAACTGTTTCTATAAAAAAGAAAGCAGTTTTCAAGCTCTTGCAAACGAAGCCTAAGCTGCAACGTGTACTTTTTGTAGTTGCAGTAAGCTTTGACTATTAATAGAAATACACGGTAACTAGAAATAAAGTAAAGAACAAGCTAATCGTTAAAATTGGATCATTTAGCTAAAAAAAACAACAAATCATGCATAAACTTTCAAAGCGGTGATCAAAGAATTGAAATAAAAGTGTCAATTTTAGATTATTTATAAGCGGATAGCTCAAACACTTTAAATAGCACAAAAGCCGTAATAAGAAATAGCAAATGGAAGCAAAATAGATAGCATATAGTCTTTAGGCAATATAGTATCAATTCAAAGAAAAGTCAACAAATTAAAATAAATCAAACAACTATTGTACCTAATTCAAATCAATAGAAATATGCAGATTATTGGAAGGTCAGTAACAATATGCAATAGTTAATCAATATAACTATATGCAATATTTAGTGAAAGTTTAAAACTAATATACTTCAGTAACCAAAGAGATGCAAATCATTGCAAGTTGCCAGTTTTAATTTTCAGAGTATTTATCTATTTTTAAACAATGTCGCAAAATAAGAATTCATTAAAATAGTAATGTTATTGGATTAATCATAGCCAGAAGTCGTTAGATATAAACAGATATAAAACTGCTAGATTTGAGCAACAGTTTAAATCATACTAAATGCATTCGGTCATTGATATAGTATATAAAAATCTAGTGTGTTGTTATTCGAACAATAATATTTAATGAATATGGATATAAATTTAAAGAACATGGACAGAAAAAGTCATTGATATATTTTTTTTCCTATTTTAATTTAACTACATAGAATAGATTAAATGGACATGAAATCCCAATTTAGTCCAATTTTAGTAACATTTTAGCCAATCGAATTTGATCAATTCATTCATTGAAATTAGCCAATTTAGTCCATTTGGATCAGATAAGATCAACTGAATCAATTGGTCAAATTAGACTTTATCAAAGATTGACTGAGCCTAAGTCTTCCATGTTTAATGAATTGGAAGTATCTGCGAATGTTGAATTTGCTCAATTGAGCTAAATTGATCTAAAGAAATGATATCACGAAGAAGCATATGGAGGGAGAACCGAAGATAGAAAAAAGAAATTTTCCCATTTTTATAAGTTTTGAAACTATAATAACATCTGACAGTTGCAACAGTAGGTTTTAATGACTTCCATAAAAAAGAAGAGGCGGTAGAATATAACCACCATAGAAAAGAACAAGCACTAACCCATCAATGTTTAAAAACGGAGTTTTCAATTAAAAAATTCCAAATCCTTTTCAACTTCTAAGGCTTATTAATATGGGTGTTAGAATTAACACGGAAACCACCTTTCTACCATAGTATAGCATAAAGACTTCACGGTAAAATTTTGAGTTTACGAGAGACACGGCATAGGATAAACTTTGAAGTTTTTTAGTGGCCTTGTCATAAAAAAAGATTCTATTAACCAAATAATTAACCCATTTAGTAGCCATTTTAGGAAGGCAAGTTGTGCTGAACAAACAAATAAAAAATAAACAGAAAGCTGCAAACAGCTAGTAAAAGAGGGAACTTTTTTACTTCAGTTTATTAAATAGAGGTTGATAGGTGCACATTTTAAAGTTCTCATTTGTAATTAGAATAAACAAGCATTTGAAAGATAACAAACCAGTTTAGTGCAAAAAAACAGTAGTCCAAGCTGCATATCAATCAGCGTATTTGGAAAAATACTGTCATACTTTTCCAAATTGACAAGAACATCAGGTCCTTTAATATTTAATGAGAAGAAAACAACAAAAAATAGAGGAGCCGCCTTAGCAAAAATAGAACAAAGGATCAACAAAATTCAGATGGTTGATTGATGCACCCGTCTGAGCAAGGGGTTTGACACAATGTAAAACAACCTCATCTCAAACTAAATTTGAAATGAAATGGCCGCAAAAACTCCCATTGAAAACAATAGAAATGGACATAACAAATACTGACAGAATCCAATCAACAAAGATAGGATGAAAACTAATGTAAATTAAATGAGAAATCAAAGCCCAGAGCTTTCATAAGAATCACCTTAGCACAGAATAGCTGATGGCCCAACCATTTTTTTGAAGATCTGAAGAATGTTAGCGGCTAATTAGATGTCTTTAGCAATGTCACACCCCTCAAAAAGTCACTTGAGTCAGGTTGACGAATTTAGCTAGTAAAGGTCAGATTTTGCTAGTAAGAAGCGTAGATATGACCTAATACAAAAATTGTATAATGAAATAAGTTTATATTCAGAAATCTGATTAGCATTGAGTTTCTTTGGAATCATAGCAATGGCAGTGTGGTTAAAAAAATTTGATAAACATGAAGTTTCAAAAGAAAAGTAGTAAAGGTTCAATAAATTGAGGTCAAACCAACATAGTCCCTTAAAATTTTAACATGGAGACCATCAAAACAAAGTGATTTATCATTGTCTAAGGCCGGAAAAAACATATCAAGATTAAAAAAAGGCATTGTACAAAGTTGCTTCTAAATATCATAAAAGAGTGTAAACAGAATCATTGTTAGAAAAAAATTTGGTTGAGTTTTTACCTAATAGTATAGTTGTACTTTTTTTTTACCTAGAAGTTTAATAGCAATGGCAGTGTGGTTAACAAAATTTGATAAACATGAAGTTCCACAAAAAAGTAGCACAGGTTCAATAAATTGAGGGCAAACCAACATAGTCCTTTAAAATTTTAACATTGAGACCATCAAAACAAAGTGATTTATCATTGTTCAAGGCCGGAAAAACATAACAAGATTAAAAAAAGCATTGTACAAAGTTGCTTCTAAATATCATAAAAGAGTGTAAACAGAATCATTGTTAGGAAAAAATTTGGTTGAGTTTTTAATTAATAGTTTAGTTGTACTTTTTCTTTACCTAAAAGTTTAATTTGGATTTATGCCGGGCGGGTCTACCATGGAGGTTATATATTTATTGAGAGATTTGATGAAGATGCACAGAGAGAATAAGGATGATCTACATATGATTTTTATTGATTTAGAAAAAGCTTACGATAAAGTTCCAAGAGAAGTCCTTTGGAGAGTTTTAAAGAGGAAAGGCGTTGATATGACTTCTATTCAAGTCATTAAAGATATGTATGCTAGAGCGGATACTTATGTTCAAATAGGAGGATAAATCAAGTATTTTCAAATTTAAGTTGGATTATATTAGGGATCAGTTTTAAACTCATATCTTTTTTGCTTTAGTTATAGATGGTCTTACTGGACATTTACAGAAGGATGTGCCTTGTTGTATGCTTTTAGTTGATGATATCCTTCTTGTGGATAAGACAAGAAAGAATTCAAGAAAAACTTGAATTATGGAGGCCTAAATTATAGTCTAAAGGCCTTTGTTTGAGTAGAACTAAAACTGAATACATGAAATGTAATTTTACTAATAGTAGCTCTAGTGTCAGAGTTGTAAGTATGGGTGATTAAATCATTAAAGGGTGAACGTTTTAGATATCTCAAGTCCATTGTTCAAAGTGATGGTGATATAGATGGGGATGTTATTAGTAGAATACAAGTTGGTTGGTTGAAGTGGAGGAAAACATCAAGCCTATTGTGTGATAGAAAAGTACCGCTTAAATTGAAAGGAAAATTTTATAAGATGGTGGTGAGACCTGCAATGCTCTATGGCGCAAAATGTTGGCCTTTAAAAGAGAAGCATAAAAAAAAGTTAAGTGGTGCTGGGATGAGAATCCTTAGACAAATGAGTGACTTGATACATGGAGACAAAATACGAAATGAATTTATCAGCGATAGGTTTGGTGGAGCTCCAGTGGCGGACAAGATCAGAGAGAGTCGTCTTAGATGGTTTGGTCATATTAAATGTCGATCATCTGATGATCCGATTATGAGAGTAGATGTTTTAGATTCAACTTATGTTAAGAAAGACGTATGTAGACCTCAAAAGACTTGGCCATATTGTATAAAAAATGATGTTGATTTATTAGAATTAAATGAAAACATGTCACTCAATAGGACGCAATGAAGAAAAAGGATTCATCTAGTCGACCCGACTTAATGGGATAAAGGCTTATTGTTGTTGTTGTTGTTGTTGTTGTTGTATTTAATTATAATGTCTAGCAGTTTAGCCATAATGAGAAATGATTAGTGAAATGTGAAATCAAGGAAACATATTAAGACATCTTTAAATTGGCCTCAATGTGAGTGAATTTGTTTATCCAGCAAGAAAGCATATTACGTAGGTTCAGTTCAGATTTTCCTTAGGATTCAATCAGGTTTAACTTGGAAAAAAAACATCAGATAATTAGGGAAAAAAACGGACAAACATTCCAAATTCAATGCTATAGCACTGCCCTTTGAAACAAGCTCATGTAACAATGTGCATGGAGTTAAAACACACCTACAGAAAGATTAGTGGGATACTAGGATTATACAGTACTCTGTGTTCGCTATAAATTTATACGCACATCACTACAGAACAAATACAAAAAAGTCCATGGCCCTACGCCACAATAATCGCTTAGAGCCGGCCCAATAGTTCTGAACAAGAATTAACAAAAACCAACAAAGTAGAATAAAACTAAATAAAAACAGAGATTAAATCACTTTTATCCTTCAGAAGTTCCTCAAATTTTCTAGTCAAAGCCAGAGAAATATACCACCAAAAGCTAATTTGGTATCAACAATCACAATCCATTAACCTCATGAATGATACATTGACAAAAAATAATTAAAATTAGATCTACGAATTACAACTGTACCGACAGGAAAACGAGGGAATCAAGCTCAGAGAAGGCCGCAGAGAACAGAGAAGCCGAGTATGATGAGCCACACAATGTGGATGAGTAAGAATGCCTGCCCCGAGACGAGGCCGTTCCCGCTGTTTCCAATCTCACAGTACCCGCTCTTCGCCACGCGCACGCCCGCGCACGCGGCCTCAGAGCATCCGCACCAGTAAGTCACGCCGTTCTCACCGCAAACGGGATCCGGTCGAAAGCAATTGATGGGACAATATCGGGATCCATCAGATATTCCGGGGCAAGGATCGTTGACTGTTGCCTCCGATTTTGCGTTCGAGAGGTGAATTGAGAGGGCGAATAACAGGATGATGGCTAGAAGAAAGGATCTCGCCGCCGACGACATTGCGAGCGAGCCAGAACAGGGCCGCCTAGCGCTTCGGAGCACAAGATCCGAAACCCTAGCCCGTCGAACCCAGATGGCTTGCCAATTGCCTGAGAAAAGTATACACTGGAAAGAGGGCGAGGAATCAGAGGAAAGGAAAATTTGGTGTAGGTTAGTTGAGAAAATCAGCTCTAATTTTGGGAGATTTGATCATATAAATTAGTAAAATTTTTTTAGAAGTCGTGTTCAGATCTAATGGTGAAATTTTTGTATTTTTCAAAACAATAACGAGAGTTGGGCTGTCAAGAAAGATCTTTGTTCGCATAAATGAGCCGAACAAGAACAGTTTTTTGTTTGCTCGTGTTCGACTCGTTTTAACTCGAAATAAAAAAATATATATATAATTATTTATATATATTATTCACATGATGATAAATTATATATATTTATATAAGTTTATATCATAAAAACTGGTGTGTTAATGTAGTTATATATCTTTTTTTTTTTACATACATTTGATTCAGGTCCGAATTCAATACTCTACATCTATTTTTTTCAAATAATTTTAATGAGACGAACACAAACACACAGTTTACGAGCCAATTTCAAGCACGAGCCGATTTCAGACACTAGCAATTTCGAACGAGCCATACCTGAGCTTGCTTAAACTTGGCTTGTTTACAACCCAATTCGAGAGGTATCTGTGTTTTGTTGTTTATCGAATGAAAATTGTTGCAGACATTGATATTCAGTATAATGAACTAAATTTTATTGTCTTCTCCCATGAAACCTAAATCATAAAAGATGGTACGGGGTGTGCTACCATAGTGTACTCAGCCATTTGGCTGTGCTATAACTAGCTTTTGATTCTCTTATGATTAGTAATAGCAATCATTCTCACAAAATGGGAGAGCCACGCAAACACGAAAATTAAGGAAAATGATCGCATACATTACTAAGCTTTCGTTGTGAAAACATGGAGTGGTGATGAATGGGTTTTAATATTTGATGTGCAAAATGAGTGCTAACACTTCATACACACAAACTCTCATCTCCATTAGCATTTAGTCATTTCTCCTTGGTGGGAATCAAACCCCATTGGTACAATTCTTCAAGGCCATTGTGCATCACTTGTCTTTGTGGTGGTAAAAATGATTTACAATAGAAATAGTTAAGAATTCTAAATGTAATATCTTATATTATACTATGTATGGGATCACATACAAGTGAAAGAAATTGCCAATTTAGACAAAAATAATAAAAAAAAAATTTTTGACATATAATCCTACATTTGTTTTTACTGAAAAATGAAATTTTGTAACATACCATTTTAATTGTTATAGATTTAACTATAATATATAATAATAATCTAAAACATATCATAATATGTTAAAACATGCAACAATGTTCCGGATCACTAATAATATATCATACTATGCTTGGTAACTATAGTATATTATATACTCTACTACTATATATTATGGGATCTCTCTCTCTCTCTCTCTCTCTCTCTCTCTCTCTCTCTCTCTCTCTCTCTCTCTCTCTCTCTCTCTCTCTCTCTCTCTCTCTCTCTCTCTCTCTCTCTCTCTCTCTCTCTCTCTCTCTCTCTCTCTCTCTCTCTCTCTCTCTCTCTCTATATATATATATATATAGAGAGTGCGTTAATAAAAATATTTTTATTGTCTCATGCATGCGTGTGCGCACGAGAGTGTGCGTGCGTTAATAAAAATATTTTTATTGACATATATTTAATTCTCTTACTATTTTTCTTGGAGCTTATAAAATAACTATAATAAGCTTCAAGTGGCCTGAAGTTGATCATCAATGTAAATGAAAATATAATTTCTCTTCCTCAATATCATCAATAGTCTTAATCTAATTATTTCAAGTTGATCATATAAATCCCCATTTCCTCTAATTTAGTTTTTTTTAGTGCTCCCCATTATTAACAAAATTAAAATTACAATTCATTTATTTTATTTTGGTGTGAACTTTATGATATTTACTAACTTAGAGTCCATCATCAAGCTGATAGAGACATACCTGCACCACAACATACGACTCCACTTTAGGACTATGCATCCTCACCGTAGGTGTTTTGGTTTTTTTGTAAAAACTTGGACTTGTCAGCTTGTTTATCATCGTATAATTCTATTTTTCAAATAAATATCTCTCCTTGTTCATGTGAAAGATACAAAGAAGAAAAGAATAAGAAAAATTAGGACATACGAAGTTGATAGATAAACAAATGTTGAAAACGAACGTCAAGAGCTCATGTGCAGTAAACCTTGTGTGATAGGTCGAGAGTGTACATCCAAACAAGATTAGATCGAAACACCTTGAACCGAATATCCACGAAAGAATACATACATAAGCTACTCAAATCAGAGAACTAAATATGTATATTTGTCATGGGTTCAAGAGCACTCTTGTTTGGTTAATTACATCTTAGGGAATGCCCAAGAATACTCTCAAATTAAATGTATCTTGCTTACATTTAAGTGACATTTAGTAAAGGGTGTCACAAAGGAAGTTATCCCATATGAACGTCTTACTGCCTTCAAAGCTCTCGCTAAGCCACATGAAAAAGAGTGAATCTCTCACATCCCAAGTGGGTAGCGGCTCATAAACATATGAGGCCCATGAAATAATCAGGTCGACTCATAGGTTCCACACTATGCTTCTAAGGTCTAACAGAGCTATAAGAATAGAGGGTGAATTACCGTATCTCAAATAGATGGTGGTCTATTCACAATCAGGGTCTACGAGACGACATCAATGACGCGTTAAACAGAGTGACAAGACTCAAAGTGGGTGGCAAAGGAGAGGAAGAGTAATCCTAATCCGGTAGAGATAGTCGAGTCAGTATACCACAGATTTGTCATCCCAAACTATCAGGACCCCAATTTTACGTGGTCGTGAAGATAGTCAACCCAACATAGTCAGAATTCCATTGTTAGCAATCCGTGAATTGTGTTTTCCAAGGGAACCTCGGTAGACTTATGGTCAAGAGAAGGAAAATCTAAATCCTATGATCCTATAGAGGTAGAGCTCAAAGAAATGAGACTTATACTCGTTAAATAATCGATGAAGATGCCACCATAAGGAAGAGAAAAGAGAGGTCCAACTACAAAGCTAAAGACACTCCCATAAAGGACATACTCCCCATCTAAGTTGGGAAGGCGTCTAACACCATATGTGTGCTAGAACTACCTAAATAGAAATTTAATGATTGGCCAGTCGAGTTGAAGAAACACAGAGAATTCACCTCGGGACTTGCAAATGATGTAGTGATCTGATCAATCATAATATGGATGGCCTATTAATATGACTTGGGTTATAGTCATGCAAAGCGACCCATTTCAAATCTGGCCCAAAGGCCAAGTAGGAAAGTAAAAGTAATTTTGAAAAGTTGAGATCTTTTAAACAATTTTAATTAACCTCAATCCTTTATTATTAAGCTTGTGTAGAAGAGGTTAGAATATTAAGTCCATAGGAAACCTAGATTATATCTATAAGATTCCCAGATAATCCACAAGCCAAAAAAGGAGTAACTGTTATAGCACAGTCTGTAGTAAAGTAAACAAGCTAAGCCTGAGAGAGTAGAGAGGTCGGGTGTCGACGGGTTGGCAACATGTCCCAGAAAAGCAAAAGAGGCGGCCAAACACCACATACATATACATACTTGGTCCTAGTGTTATACATCAAAGAGATATAGAATTAAGGTGCAAGACACTAGACTGCAACTCTTGTTTCTCGTCACGTGGTTTTGCCCATCAGACATCTTGAAACTCGTGTCATACCTTATTTCTAATAGAGACTCCATCCTAAGGGGCTCTGAAAAGTCACATAGTAAAAGTATTCTAAGAGGTGAGCTATCTACATGCAACGTAGTGAACCGTGCTTGGTGGGAGGAGATCTAAGCAACACCTGCAGAAACCTGTTGGACATGTCTCCCTGAAGTAAACCACCCATAACATACTAGTGTGTATGTCTTACAACCTAGTAAAAACACAAAAAACAACACACATAATGATGCATGGCTAGGGCAACCAAACCAGTAGAGAACTATAGCCATGAAATAATAAAAAAAAAACTACCTAGAACCATAGTCCTAGCCTAGCACATCATCTAACGTATAGTGTCCTAGTCATAACATCCAAGTGTGTGCAGGGTGTAGGTAAAAAAGCTAGCGAATATTTTGATGGGGTCACTATCCCCGACCCCATCCTAATGATAAAAAGATTCTAAGATGTGTGACTAGATGCAAAATTTTTTATGAACAAAAGTTCTAAAAGCTTGAAGTCATGAATGGTCTAAGCTAAGGATGCAAATAATTTCAAAACAGGTATTGAAGAATAATGTATACATAATAAAAATACAATTTTCTTATATTTTAAAATAATTCATAAGGAAGGAAAAGCATAAGTGACACCTAGTAGAACCCTTGGAATCTTAGCACAACATACACGTGTTAGTCATCGTGCGATAGCTAGTATTACCCACTGAGACATTCTCGTGATCAGTACTCGTTATCGTGTCGTGACCACCGCTTAGCTAGATAGTCTGGTGTATCATCGAGATGATCAAGAATGCACTGCAGATGTAGAGTGATCTAGTGCATTGTGACTGCTCCATCGAAGTTGGGGAGATCATGAGATAGGTAATATCCATCGCAAATATACGGTGACATATACTAGTGATGAATATGCCGAAAGTGCAAAGATGCACATGCAAGGCACACCACACAAATGATATTGTGTTCGGCTACCTAGAGTGTAGGACGCCATAAAGGAGAATTACAACTTGCCCCAATAACGACCAAAAACATGCAAATTGCAGGCACATAAAAGGTATAGTACAAAATGCAAGCAAACAAGCATACACCTCATGCAAAGGGATGTGCATGTGGCAGTGTAGGGTGTTGTCACGGGGGATGGGTACAATGACTCATGTGTCGGACTGGTTCAGAGTCCTTTGGGGCATGACATAGCAAACAAGCATACACCTCATGCAAAGGGATGTGCTTGTGGCAGTGTAGGGTGTTGTCACGAGGGATGGGTACAATGACTCATGTGTCGAACTGGTTCAGAGTCCTTTGGGGCATGACATGAGCTCGATGAGAGTCATGTGTCCTAATGGAAGAGCATTGCACCTCAGGTGGGTTCAAAGGCTATGAAGCATAACCTGGAGAATGGGTTTATAGGCTATGAAGCATGACCCATGAGGTGACACGATGTGCAGGTCATCTCTGATGAAGATAAAGTGGTGTCGTATGAAGAGAAGTGGTGTAACTTTCATGGGAGAGAATTACACACCGAGTAGGCTTGATGTATAAGTCATTCCCAAAAAAGGACACGTGACTGTCGAGAATGATTGTTTGAGAATAGTGACTGGAGAAAAGGCCTACAACAATCTGAAGCAAAGCCATAGGAGGAGAGGTAATATATCTCTAGTTAGAGATAATTACACACTAGGTAGGCTTCATGTGCAAGTCGTCCTCAACACAGACACGTGAGTTTCAAAGATGAGTGTGCATGAGTAGTGGCTTGAAATAAATCACATGCATGCAAGTTATGAACATACAAGATGCTATGCAAGACAACATGCTAGAGTGCAAAGTGTAAGTGCAAACACAAGTGACATGATGCACGGTGACATATAAGAATGTAAAGTAAGGGGTATGAAGTACCATACCTAAAGGGGGTACAAATGCCCACTATGAGCATATAGGGGCAGATGCACACAAATGCACGATAGGTGCAAGTGTGTAAGTGTTCATGCAAGCATTACAGAACAAGCATGCAATAATGCAACATTCATATGAAATTGATCAATAAGGTCAAGACGGAAGCAGAAGATCGATCGAGTCGATGAATGTGGTCGATCGATCCAATCGAGCTAGTGGCGATGAATTGGTAGAAGCGACGAAGAAGGTCGATCAAACCAATCAGGTCGATGGCAGCCGATTAGTTGCACCAACAAAGAAGGTTGACCGAACTGATTGGGATGGTGGCGACCATCGATCAAGTCGGTCAAGATGGTCAGACAAACTGATTGGATCGGCAGCGGCCGATCTGTCAGGCCGACAAAATAGGTCGATCAAATCGAATGGGCCTGTGGAGGCCGATCAATTGAGTTGATGAAGATGATCAGAAGAATCGATCGATAATGGTCAATCGTTTTGTCGTGTCGGTCACGAATGATTGATCAAGTTGACGAAAATTGTAGGACAAACTGGTCAGAATGGTGGCAACTGATAAGTTGAGCCAATGAAAAAGGTTAATTGGGTTGATCTGGTCGGTGGTGGTTGATCGATCAAGTCAACGAAGATGGTCAGACGAACTGATCGGACCACAAGCGATCAATCGATCAAACCGACAAAAAAGGTCGATCGAGTATATCTAGCTGGGTGCAGCCGATCAGTCGAACCTACTAAGAAGGTCGATCAAATTAATCAGGCCGGTGGCGACCGATCAATCAAGTCGACGAAGATGGTCCAACTAATTGATCAGACTAATGGAGGTCGATCAATCGAGCCGAAAAAAAAGGTCAATCGAATTGTTCGGGCTTTTTGTGGCCGATCAATCAAGTCGATTAAAAAATTCGATCAAGTCAATCGGGCCAGTGGTGAACAATCGATCGAGTAGACGAATATAGTCAATTGAGCTAGGTAGGATGTGCTACCAATCGACAACACATGCAAAAAAAGGAAATTTTGATTTACTTTAAAAATAGTCATGTTGAACACACAACATGACATGCGGGTGCATGAAGTGTATGATATCCACTTAATCCTTACGATAAACCATACTTGTCATAGCGACCACACGTGATATTCTGTTAGAGAAAAAGTCATAGCTACTACTTCGTCATGCAATGTAACGAATCAACCTACCACTAATTGCCCGACATGAGGTGAAGGAATCTTCCATGAGAGAAAGCCTTCATGCAATGAAGATTTTTCATGGACATCACACTCACGACCTAGGAAACGTGAAACAAAGAAAGTTTTCTCATTTTCTAGGTCAAATTGCCCTCAATTAATTCATCGAGAGTTGAGGCAACGAACAACCACGAGATTGTCGAGCTCCTGGGGCAACTAGGTCAAGGTTCTAGAAGAAATTGGATTTTTGCTCGTAGATTAGTAGGGGAATCGCGAAAAAAGCTCCTAACCTATGGGGCCTCATTTATCACAACACCCTAACTTAATTCGTATATCATACAAACCTAGGGGGCTCTAGGATTGAAAAATAAGGCTTTTGAGAGTTTTTTCACCTTCACAATGGTCATTCAAAGCGTTCTCTTTGGTTGTCCACACTCTAATTCACTATGAAGAAACTCTCATTCCTCTGTAAGAGAGATGACGCTCTCCTACTTCCTTAAAAGAGATGAAGCTCTCTTTCAAGAAGCTTTTTTCAAGGGCTTCCTCTTACAAGAGCCTCTCCAAGAAAGCTCCCTCACACACTCAAAGGAACACGCTCTCCTACTTCCTTAAAAGAGATGAAGCTCTCCTTCAAGAAGCTTTTTTCAAGGGCTCCCTCTTACAAGAGCCTCTCCAAGAAAGCTCTCTCACACACTCAAAGGAATGGTGGAAGAAGGGGAAGAAGAAGTGCACGAGATCTAAGAGAAGAAGAAGAAGAAGAAGAAGAGAAAGTAGTGGCTACAGGGAGCAAGACCTTTTCCTCAGCTTTCCCCCAAGCTCTCCACTTCAAAGCCTCCACGAGAACACTCTATCTCCAAGGAAAAAAGAAAACTCTTGTTTTTTCTTCATCCGAAACTAGAACAAGCTCACTCTAGGGAAGCCAAGGAAGGAGAAGCCCTATTCCCCTCTCTTCTTACCAAAAATGACAAGTAGTTCCCCAACTAGAAACTTACATAAAAATCCAAAAAAGTTTCCATCCAATCACCTTTTTTCCTCTCCAAGGCATATCCACCCATAAACCAAGAAAAGCTGCATTTTTCGGCTGCTTAGGGGGAGTTTCGGGTGAGAATCCCAAGAAAATTTGGGAGCAAAAAACGACCTTACACCTAAGCGTTGGCCCCCTGACTCCTACTTTCTGCTTTCTTGAGTTCGAGAAAAGATTTAGAGCTATTTCGGGCTCAAATTTTTTGGGGGATTGGTGCTTAGGAGCCCGGAGGCCTACATCTACTTTTTGACTTCTCAGT